CAGCCAGCGAGATTTTGAGCCACCGCGATTCAGGGTCCCGGGTTCGCAGCTCCAGGACCCCGCTCGTGGACAGCGCTCCTTCGCCCGTAGCTGTCCCTCCAAATCATGTTCTGCCTTGTGGGGTGCAGCATTTGACAAGTCACCTTCTCCCCACATACCCCTTTCCACAAACCAGGTCCGAGTTAACGTCTTTCCTGACCTCAGTTTCAGACCCCTCTCCTCTGCCCCCTCTCTTCACCTCTGGGTCTATTTTCTCCAGTTCAATTTTGCCTGTAAAACTGGAGTTTGGAGTAATTACGCAGAAAGATTACCTTTAAGACTGAGCATTTGATACAAAAAGAAAAAATTTTCATGCTAACGAGAGAGTTGGTGGGGAAACCATGGCTGAGCACGGGGCGCACATCACAACTGCTTCTGTGGCCGATGACCAACCTTCCATCTTTGAGGTGGTAGCACAGGACAGTTTAATGACAGCAGTGAGACCTGCGCTTCAGCACGTGGTCAAGGTAAGGTATTCTCGGAAGGTTCTTAGGACCAGTGGGTAGAAACCAACCCAGTGAGTTGTGTTTATTTGGTAGCCTCGGGTTTGAAATAACCAATTTGCATAGAATTCATATCCTATGTCTTAGACGTTACTGAGTCACTGTTCTAGGTGAAGCTCTGTACTGAATACCTGAATACTTAGCACTTCAGGGAGGTTAGGGTGGGACCCAAATGACTTGTTTAAGCTGAAAGTGTGTAGAATTCAGAGGGGAAAAGATAATTTTAAATAAAAAGCTCAGTAGTGTGGGATGGAATTAATTTCACCTGTCCATTTACTTTGACTCAGGTTCTTGCAGAATCAAACCCTGCCTACTATGGCTTCTTGTGGCGATGGTTTGATGAGATCTTTACTCTGCTGGATCTTCTGCTTCAGCAGCACTATCTATCTAAAACCAGTGCCTCCTTTTCTGAAAACTTTTATGGCTTAAAGAGGATTGTCATGCGAGACACACACGCGGTTCAGCGGCTGGCCAGTGCTGGTCTCCCCAGGCAGCAGCTGTGGAAATCGGTCATGTTCCTGGTTCTTCTTCCATACCTGAAAGTGAAGCTGGAGAAGCTGGTTTCTAGCCTGCGAGAAGAGGATGAATATTCCATCCATCCCCCTTCTTCTCACTGGAAACGGTTTTACAGAGCCTTCCTGGCAGCCTATCCATTCGTTAACATGGCATGGGAGGGCTGGTTTCTCGTACAGCAGCTTCGCTACATCCTAGGGAAAGCTCAGCATCACTCGCCGCTGCTGCAGCTGGCTGGCGTTCGGCTAGGTCGACTGACGGTTCAGGATATTCAAGCTCTGGAGCACAAACTGGCTGAAGCCAGCAAGATCCAGCAACCGGCAAAGAGGTAAGGCCTTAACATTTCAAGAAAAGCTTTGATTAATAAATTCTAAGATTCCCAGTTTCAGGAAATTTACCACCCTGTCTCCTTTGAGTTATTTGAGAGAATCATAGAAAAGTTATTTGTCCTTAAAACAAGGACCAACATCCTGGTCACCTTTATCATACAAGGTCCATTTCTGTTAGCTCAATCCTCATCACAAACCAATGAGGTTGAGGAAACTAATCCATAACAGCTGACTACCTTGCCAATGCCACATAGCTGGAAGGTTGCAGAGCTGAGATTCAGGTGAGGGCAGTACAGGTTTTGTTTTTTTTTTTTGTTTTTTGTTTGTTTTTTGTTTTTTGTTTTTTCTTGACAGGCAGAGTGGACAGTGAGAGAGACAGAGAGAAAGGTCTTCCTTTGCCGTTGGTTCACCCTCCAGTGGCCGCCTATCCGCACCGCGCCTATCCGAAGGCAGGAGCCAGGTACTTCTCCTGGTCTCCCATGGGGTGCAGGGCCCAAGCACTTGGGCCATCCTCCACTGCACTCCCTGGCCACAGCAGAGAGCTGGCCTGGAAGAGGGGAAACCGGGACAGAATCCGGCGCCCCGACCGGGACTAGAACCCAGTGTGCCAGCGCCGCAAGGCGGAGGATTAGCCTAGTGAGCCGCGGCGCTGGCCGGCAGTACAGTTCTAACAGCTGTGTTCTTTGATGCTGTGTCACTTCTAGCTACTGTGTATTCTACATGTTTAAAGGTACACATTGCTCAGTGCTGCTGAGCTCATGTGTTAGTTGTTTCTTTTTCTGGTTGCATTATCTTCCATAGAAAAATTCTCCACTTAATTTCTTCCTCAAAACAAAACCCTGACCCTTTGTCATTAAAAACAAAGCTTAAATTCTGTACCCCTCAAACATTAAGATCAGAAAGGGATTGCTTAGGATGGATCCTTAAGGAAGTGCCAATCTCACACCTATTCAAATGCCAAACCTGTGATCACTGCATTTGTTGGTCACTCAGTGATTATGCCTAAAGTCTCTTTGCCTCTGTTCTTCTCCCAACAGCATCAGTGAGCAGATTAAGTCCACTCTGAAGAAAGCTGTGGGGGGCGTGGCCATATCCCTCTCCACTGGCCTTTCTGTGGGCGTATTTTTCCTGCAGTTCCTGGACTGGTGGTACTCATCGGAAAATCAAGAAACCATCAAATCACTGACTGCCCTGCCTACTCCACCACCCCCTGTACACCTAGACTACAACTCTGATTCCCCTCTGTTACCTAAATTGAAGACAGTGTGCCCACTGTGTCGTAAAACCCGAGTGAATGATACCGTTCTTGCCACATCTGGCTATGTGTTTTGTTACCGCTGTGTGTTTAACTATGTGAGGAGTCACCAAGCCTGTCCCATCACAGGCTATCCTACCGAAGTACAACATCTGATCAAACTGTACTCCCCTGAGAACTGAAGGGACTGAGCACCTTCCTTCCTAGGGGCTGCACTGCAAGGCCCCAGGGCTGGTTTTCAGAATGGCACATAGCACATTCTTCTCAGCCTCAACTGATAACTATGAACTTCAAACAACTGTAAGAATTTCTTTTTAAAAGGACAGACCCATTTGATCCTAACTGTTTAGTCTACTCTCTAGACCCCTACTTACAAATGACCAAGCTGGTTTAAGTAGGAGACTTGAGATTGGCAGGGGATATAAGGATAACTAGGGGAAGGTTTTTCTATCCTTTTCTAAATTAAGAGCAATAGAAGTTCTCAGGAAAAAACTCAGGTTAGACTTCATGAAGTGGGTGGTAAAAGAAAGCATTTATCTGCCTCCTGAAGTGGTGGTTTTACCAAACAATGTGAAATGTGCACCTGCTCTTCACAGAAACACTCAGAGCACTACAGAACAATGCTCCTGCTGTACACTGTGACCCAGTGACGTTTGGGACAGTTTATCAGATTTTTAAGATTCTTTTCTGAGCCATACATGTCTTTTATTGGGAAACCGGTTAAAACAGAGATTGTTTACATAAACATAGTCTGAAGATGTCAGTGTGAAAGCAAAGCTAATAAAAACATATGAAGTAAAATACTTAACTGTGTAAAGAAAGGATCTTTTAATAAGCTTTTTCTGCTTGCTATTAAGAGTTTGCTAAACTGGCATGAATTATTCTGGCTATTACTAAAACATTTAAATCAATTTTAAGAATGTTTCTAACAAAGAACTGTTCCATGTTAGCAGGATAATGTGTAAATTTAAAAGATTACTTGAGGTATTTACAATAAATTTTCATTCATACTACTGTGGCTTTTTGAGGTATTTGTGTATTGATTCAAATTTTTGCTTTTCGCTAATCCAGTAATTGGGACAGAAGGTAAGCACTGGATGCTGCAGTTGCCACACCACTTAGGATACCTTCATCCTCAGAGTGCCTGGTTTGAGTCCCAGCTCCTCCACTTCTGCTCCAGCTTCCTGCTGATATGCACCCAGGGTGGTAGCAGAGAACGACTCTGTTGGGTCCCTGCTACCCTCATGGGAGACCCAGATTGAGTTCTAGGCTCTGTGTTTCTCCTTGGCCCAAGGCAAGCTATTGTGGGCATTTGCTGAGTGAATCAGTAGTCAGAGGATCTCTTTGTCTTAATCTTTCATATAAGTAAAAAACTTTATTCCAATACTCAAAATTAAGCCTTATTATCAGAAACGCTTAAATTCCTTATATAAAAAATATGTCACTGCATTGGCAGGTTGCAGTAAACATGGGTTTAAAAAAAAAAAAAAAAAAAACACGGGCCAGCACTGCAGCTCAATAAGCTAATCCTCCGCCTGAGGCGCTGGCACACTGGGTTCTAGTCCCGGTCGGGGCGCCAGATTCTGTCCTGGTTGCCCCTCTTCCAGGCCAGCTCTCTGCTGTGGCCAGGGAGTGCAGTGGAGGATGGCCCAAGTGCTTGGGCCCTGCACCGCAAGGGAGACCAGGAGAAGCACCTGGCTCCCAGCTTCGGATCAGTGCGGTGCGCCAGCCGTGGCGGCCATTGGAGGGTGAACCAGCGGTAAAAAGGAAGACCTTTCTCTCTGTTTCTCTCTCACTGTCCACTCTGCCTGTCAAAAAAAAAAAAAAAAAAAAAAAAAACCAATAGGACAATGAAAATAATTTGTCTTTGCCAAGACAGTTTTTTTAATTAATTTCAGCAATTCTGAAGACATTTTCTGATAGCACAAAGAATATAAAGCTAAATTTTGTAATGGGATATCCTACAGATTTTAAATATTAAAGCCTTTATCTACTGTAAGAGCATAATGGATTTTAAGCTTCTTGTACGGGTTTTTTTGTTAAAGATTTATTTGAAAGAGAGACAGGGAGTGTCCATCTATGGGTTCACTCTCCAAATGGCGCCAACAGCCAGGGTGGGGCCAAGCTGAAGCCAGGAGCCAGAAGCCAGATCCACGTCTCCCATGTGGGTGGCAGAGGACCAAGCACTCAAGCCATCTTCTTTTTCCAGGCCATTAGCAGGGAGTTGGATAGGAAGTGGAGCAGCCGGGACAGGAACCAGCGCCCACATAGGATGCTGGCATCTCAGGCAGCAGCTTAACCCACTGTGCCACAGAACAAAGGCCCAAACTTGAAAGGTTTATACCAAAACAAACACCAGAGTTAATTTAGCAATACATTTTTAATACAACAGTAAGTCAATAGAGAAACTGAACCAGATTCAGGATTGAAATGATGTAGTTCTCCACGAAGATTTTAGAGCCAGACTTCTCACCACAGCCTAAGGAAGGAAGAAAACATGAAAGTATCAGTAATTCAAAGGAGTGTCACAGAAACACTTTTACCATGTAATAAAACCAGTATCCAAATAGGTTAGAATACATCTGTGTGGAAATACCACAACCAGAATCAGCTCAGAGAGAAGATTAAGGGATCATACCCTGGTCAAAGCCAACTTTGAAACAGTGGCAATACCAGGTCAGACTATACTTCACTCATCATTGCGTTCGGTTCTTTGTTACCAAGCAACAGTCCAACTCACTATTTTCACATCTAAGAAAAATTCAGGGGCCGGCGCCGCGGCTTAGTAGGTTAATCCTCCACCTAGCGGCGCCGGCACACCGGGTTCTAGTCCCGGTCAGGGCACCGGATTCTGTCCCAGTTGCCCCTCTTCCAGGCCAGCTCTCTACTGTGGCCCGGAAGTGCAGTGGAGGATGGCCCAAGTGCTTGGGCCCTGCACCCCATGGGAGACCAGGGGAAGCACCTGGCTCCTGCCATCGGATCAGCGCGGTGCGCCGGCCGCAGTGCGCCAGGGGCGGCGGCCATTGGAGGGTGAACCAACGGCAAAGGAAGACCTTTCTCTCTGTCTCTCTCTCTCACTGTCCACTCTGCCTGTCAAAAAAAAAAAAAAAAAAGAAAAAGAAAAATTCAGGCTTGCTTACAGAAAAAGGGGGAAGGGGGGGGGCCTCTCCTTTTTTTTTTTTTTTTTTAATTTGTTTATTCGAAAGAGTTAGAGAGGCAGAGAGAGAGTCTCCCACCACTGGTTCACTCCCCAAATGGTTGCAAAAGCCAGGGCTGGGCCAATCCGAAGCCAGGAATTTCTTCCAGGTCTCCGATGTGAATGCAGGGGTCCAAGCACCTGGGCCATGTTGTACTACTTTCCCAGGCCATGGCAGAGAGCTGGACAGAAGTAGAGCAGCCCGGACTCCAACCGGCACCCATATGGGATGCTGGTGCTGCAGGCAGTGACTTTACCTGCTCCACCACAACATCAGCCCCCACAGGTTTTCAATAAATCTATTATCTTCTATGCTTTGCTTTAAGCAACCCCACTAAATAAAAATGCAAACATGAACCAGTTTAAGTATTTTGTTTTTGAAGCACAAAAGATTAAGAAGCAGCTACTGGGGCCACCACCTGCACTTCCGATGCAGCTCTCTGCTACGGCCTGGGAAAGCAGAAGATGGCCCAAATGCTTGGGCTCTTGCACCCACATGAGAGACCTGGAAGAAGCTCGTGGCTTCAGATCGGCCCAGCTCTGGCCATTGTGGCCATTTAGGGAGTGAGCCAGAGGATGGAAGATCTCTGCCTCTGCCTCTCAAACAAACAAACACATCTTTTAAAAAAAAAAAAAAAAAGAGAGAGAGAGAGCAGTTACTGTTCAAAAACTTTGTTATGAGCCATGCATGATAAAATCTCAGGAATGTCTGTAAAGGGAATTTTAGCTTAGTTCTAATGCAGAGGACTTAGACAAGTTTTTCTACTAAATTCCTCTATGAAGTCCAGGTCACTTAGTATACAATTCAACTTGGAATTCTGCTGCCAACAAAGATTTAAGAAAAGTCATGACATTTTTACATGGGACCCAGAGAGGCTATGATTTGCCACAGGTCCTTAGGAAATCAACAGCAGAGCTGGAAAGAACTGAGGCCGACTAGCAGATTTACATTTTACCACCAGTTAAATAAAAGGCTTGAGTTCAGGTTCTCCAGGCTCCTACCCTTAGATTTACTGATAGGAGGGAGGGAGGCTATGAGCAAGATAAAGGAAGCACGGAAAAGCCTGGGCAATTCTGAACCTGGAAAAGAAAGCTGACTGCATTTATTCCAAATGACATCTTCTAGTTGTTTACTATTGCTGACATGAAAGAGCGCCCTGCCCATACCTTCACCGTGATCCTGAATCTCAATAAGTGACAACTCTGGGGCCTCCACACACTTACAAGGGCCAAAAGACTGATAATCCTCTGACAGCTGGTGGTGTGGGTTCACTCAGCAGCTGAGCTCTATAAAGAGATGGAAACTATAAAGTGCCTACTATCTATGCGTGCCCATTTATTTAGCTCATCATTCTCTACAGGTGAAACTGGCCGACAGAGCCTAAATAACTGCCAAAAGTCTTGAAACTCTGGATGACAGCCAAGCTCTGAACCAGTGAGTGCCTGGCTTTAAAGCCCACCATGTTTCCTCAATCAGACAATAATGCCACCTCAATAGGTCTCTTGCCTCCAGGTTCTCTCCAATCCAATGTACTACGAATATTGCACAAACTAACTCTAAAATTTGGAGGTGTGCTTACATCATTACAAGCATTCAATTGCTCTCTATGGTGTGGGAAATAACTGATTTTGTTTAGCATTCGAGATGTTTCAAAACTGACCTAATGGCCCTAACATATACTTTGGTCTAACCAAGCCAAACTAGTCCTTAGTCCTCACCTGCTCTATTTGACCTTGTGTCCTGCACCTAGAAAATCCTTCCTCCTTTTCCTGTACTTCAGTCCGACCTCTCCACTCTGTGAGCCTCCCCAAATGTCACCTTTTGTCTGAAGCCTTGTTCCAGCAAGCCACCATCTTTCCTCTGATGCTGGAAGCACATTTTTATCGATTTTGTGGTATGTATTTCACTTTTGTATTTTTTTAACCTAAATACGAATCCGAACAAGAAATTTTTAAAGAACTTTAAAAGCCTAACCTCTACTTACTTAACTGCTTCATCTTAAGCCCCTGGACAACCCTGGCCATGCTCTCTAGCCATGTCCGTTCCTGGTCCTCTGCTCCGCCTGGAATGCCTTCCCTCAGCTCTTTCAACGGGGAGAACGCCTGGTTGCAGATTTAAACTTTACTCAAATGTTACCTTCTCTATTAAGTGACCCTACCTCCCTCAGCCATACCCTTTTCTGACTCCGAAGGCTCTTTCTACACTACAGCAAGCGTCACACGCGGAACTACTTCCACCGTCCCCCATCACAGCGAGCGAGTTCCTAAAAAACCAGGACTGGGCCGGCGCCGCGGCTCACTAGGCTAATCCTCCGCCTAGCGGCGCCGGCACACCGGGTTCTAGTCCCGGTCGGGGCGCCGGATTCTGTCCCGGTTGCCCCTCTTCCAGGCCAGCCCTCTGCTGTGGCCAGGGAGTGCAGTGGAGGATGGCCCAGGTGCTTGGGCCCTGCACCCCATGGGAGACCAGGAAAAGCACCTGGCTCCTGGCTCCTGCCATCGGATCAGCGCGGTGCGCCAGCCGCAGCGCGCCGGCCGCGGCGGCCATTGGAGGGTGAACCAACGGCAAAGGAAGACCTTTCTCTCTGTCTCTCTCTCTCACTGTCCACTCTGCCTGTCCAAAAAAAAAAAACAAAAACAAAAAAAAAAAACCAGGACTGTTCTACTGGCCTTAGCAGCCAACGCACTCAGAATGGTGCCCGGTACACGGATGAGTTCCTAAATGAGCGACCCTCCCTACTAAGCCCCCAGCTCCTGGATTAGAAAAGGATCCGCACAATTTATAAAGTCGACTTACCTCTAACACTTCACGCGGCTAAGGACCACACCGCTAGCATCTCCAAGCCCTCCTCCCCACAGCCTCTACCCCACGGTGCTCTGCACACATTCCCCGCGCAGGACAACAAATGCCTAGATACAGTGGACCCTTAAATAAAATAAAAATAAAAATAAAAATAAAAATAAGGCCCAACCCTACCAATTTCAGCAAAGACTGAAGGCGTCCTTGCGGCGAGTAAGGCCGGAGCCAGGGCTCAAACTAAACACCTCGGCAGAGACCCACAGCCCGCTCTGCTACTTCCTAAAATTCCTATGCGCCAGAACCTCTCACTAGGCCTGGCCCGGCAGCAGAGAATGGATGATAATAGCCCAGGTCTCGAGCCAGGGGCTTTACTCCGGTCCACACTACCGTGCCGGCGTCTCCTCCCCTCCGCCTCGCTGCCTGGCCAGCATCCCATAGTCCAGCGCGGCACTTGCCGGATAGCCAATCCCACGGAGGCTAGTGGGTCACGTGGAGAACGTGAGGCGGGCTTGGGCTTGTGGAGCAGCCAATCGAAGGCCAAGGCGAACCTCGGGGGTGGAGCTGGCGGGATCGCAGACGCACCTCCTGCGTCGCTTGTTCCAGGCCGGTGGTGTTCCACACTCTGACCTGTTTCCCAGCCAGGATTCCCCTGCTCTCGGACCTCCGGACCAGTTTTAGGCGGAGTTTTGCCAGTGCCTTGTCGTTGCACAGCTGGGGAAGGGCATCTGGGCCAATGATAGTGTGCGGGTGCCCTGGACTTTTACGGGGAACAGTTGATTCATTTCCGCGAACCCATAGTATTCGTTGCGCTGGTCCCGGATTCTGGCTGAAGGGTAGGGACTGGGCAGACTCACTGGTGAAGATGTTCCTCTCTCTACAGGGGGAATCCGTTTGGCTGGCGGCCGGCTCGGACATTTGTTAAATAAGCAAAAGGTGCCACAAGAAAAGTGCAGCTAAACAGCAATGAAGCGCAAAGGCGAGCAGGACAGACTTCCTGCGGGGAAAGCTGGCATTTCATCTTGAAGAATCGTTGGGATTTGACAATAAGGAGACTCTGGGAGGAGCCATTGAAGCTCTTGAAATAACCGAAAAAGCTTAGGGAAAATTACCAGATTTGGGTAAAATTGATCCAATCGGTGGGGTACATCTCAAAAATGCTGTTAGAACACTCAGAGGAATCTGACAGACGGGATGTCCTCCAGCACAGGAAAAAAGCAAACAACAAAAACTCCAAAGTGTCTGGGACCCAACGCAGATCTGCCGAATCGTATAGAGTTGCAGTCAGGCGTGTGTATTTAAATAAATGCCCCAGGAGTGAGTCTGATTCACACCAAAGTTTTAGGACCAGTGTTAGTGTTTCAGAAGGGGAATGTAAGGAGACGGGGAAGACAAGGCAAAGCTGTGCGGAGGGTGACAGCTGGCTGTGAAGTTCAGGCTACTCTGGAGAAGGTGGGAGAACTGAAGATTTCAAAGGCCAAGCGGTTATGTGGTCTGAGCTGCTTGTTAGAAAACTCAGTCTGCAACTTTGTTCTGGTTGGAGAGGGGCAGAGAGTGAAACTGGAGAAGCTATTGAGAAGGTCCAGTTGTGAGTTAAGAAGAGCTTAGGTTGGACTGGCAGTGGAATGGAAGGTAGCATGTGACAGGCACATGAGAACTGTGAGGAGTGTCAGGGATGGGTAGAAGGACATGAAGAAATGCAAGGGAAGAATGGAGGAAAGTGGAGTGTCTTCCGTACCAGACCATTCAGGACCGCCCTTGGACTTTAGGGATGTGAGACGTGAAGAAAATGGACCTCTGCAGGACCTGTTTCCTCTGCCTGATGTATCCTTTCCCCGTCCATCTCCCTCTCAACCTCATGCATTCTTACTGGTTACAGCTCACCTGTCATGCCACTTGGAACTCTATTTTTTTTTTTTTTTTTAATTTACTTGGGAGGCAGAGTTAGAGAGAGAGATAGAGGTCTTCCAGCTGCTGGTTCACTCCCCAAATGGCCGCAACAGCCAAAGCTGGGCCAAATCGAAGCCAGGAGCTTCTTCCAAGTCTCCCATGAGGGTGCAGAGGCCCAAGCACTGGGGAGATCTGCTGCTGCTGCTTTCCCAGACACATTAGCAGATAGCTGAATCAGAAGTGGAGTAGCTGGTACTCGAACCAGCACCCATATGGGAAGCCAGTGCTGCAGGCGGAAGCTTAACCTACTACACCACAGTGCCGGCCCCAGGAATGCTATTCTGATTGTCACAGCAGTTATTCTGACTCTTCAGAATACCCACAGCACGTTGCTTATGCACTTCTAACATATAGTGGTCATGTAGCACGCATCCTTAAACTCTCTTCTTCAGCTTCCCTATCTGTAAAAAAAAGGACAATAAGCTGGCGCCATGGCTCACTAGGCTAATCCTCCGCCTTACGGCGCCGGCACACAGGGTTCTAGTCCCGGTCGGGGTGCCGGATTCTGTCCCGGTTGCCCCTCTTCCAGGCCAGCTCTCTGCTGTGGCCAGGGAGTACAGTGGAGGATGGCCCAAGTGCTTGGGCCCTGCACCCCATGGGAGACCAGGAGAAGCACCTGGCTCCTGCCATCGGATCAGCGCGGTGCGCCGGCCGCAGTGCGCCAGGGGCAGCGGCCATTGGAGGGTGAACCAACGGCAAAGGAAGACCTTTCTCTCTGTCTCTCTCTCTCACTCTCCACTCTGCCTGTCAAAAAAAAGGGGGGGGGGGACAATAAAAGCATCTACCTCATAGAGCGGTTGTAAGATGATGAGACTGGCTCAGAAAATTAAGCCACTGCTTGCAATGCCACCATCCAATCCCATATCTGAGGGCTGTTTCAAGTCCCTCTGCTCTGCTTCAGATCATGCTCCCTACTAATGCACCTAGGAAGGCAGTGGAAGATGGCCCATGGGCTTGGTCCCTTTCCCCCCAAGTGGGAGATCAGGATTGAGTTTCTAGCTCATGGTTTTAGCTTAGCCCAGTCCTGGCTATTCCATACAACTGGAGAGTGAAACGACAGCAGCAGTGTTGCTATGCCGAAGGACTCGAGCCATTACCTGCTGTCTCCCAGGATGCAGCAAGCTAGATCAGCAGCAGAGAGTCAGGACTCGATCCAGGTGCTCAGATTTGAGATGCAGGCATCCCAAGCGGTGACTTAACCCACTGTGCCACAACACCCATCCAGTTTTCCTTCTTTAAATTGTGAATGGTTCCCTAGCAATCAGGGAATTGCAAATCAAAACCACAATGAGGTTTCACCTCACTCCAGTTAGAATGGCTCACATACAGAAATCAACTAACAAAAGATGCTGGCGAGGATGTGGGGAAAAGGGACGCTAATCCACTGTTGGTGAGAATGCAAACTGGTAAAGCCACTATGGAAGACAGTTTGGAGAGTCCTCAGAAACCTGAATATAGCACTACCACAGGACCTAGCCATCCCACTCCTTGGAATTTATCCAAATGGAATTAAATGGGAAAAAAAAAAAGAGCTGTTTGCACCTCAATGTTTGTTGCAGCTCAATTCACAATAGTTGAGACATGGAATCAACCTAAATGCCCATCAACAGATGACTGGATAAAGAAATTATGGGATATGCGCTCTATGGAATACTATACAGCAGTAAAAAAAAAAAAAAAAAACAATGAAATCTGGTCATTTACAACAAAATGGAGGAATCTGGAAAATATCATGCTGAGTAAAATAAGCCAGTCCAAAATGACAAATATCATATGTTCTCCCTGATCGATGACAACTAACCGAGCACCTAAAAGGAAACCCGTTGAAGTGAAATGAACACCATGAGAAACAATGACATGATTAGCTCTTGTCTTGACTGTTGAGGAACAACTTACTATTTTATTTCTTTTAGTATTTTTGTTGTTGTTATTCTTTTTGTTCTACTTAATACCACTGGTTGAACTCTGTAATTAATACGCAATAATTCTTAGGCAAAAGTAACAGAAAAGTGATCTCTGTTAAATATAAGAGTGGGAATAAGAGAGGGAGGAGATATACAGGTTGGCACATGCTCACTCGGACTTACCTCCAATGGTAGACCCATCTCACTTGTTAAAGTGTTAAGTTTAAGTACATAATTGATCAAAAAGATAGAGTAAGGGTAGAAGAGATTTCACAAATAAGACCAGTGTCTGCAGGCCGGCGCCGTGGCTCACTAGGCTAATCCTCCACCTTGCGGCGCCGGCACACCGGATTCTAGTCCCGGTCGGGGCGCCGGATTCTGTCCCAGTTGCCCCTCTTCCAGGCCAGCTCTCTGCTGTGGCCAGGGAGTGCAATGGAGGATGGCCCAAGTGCTTGGGTCCTGCACCGCATGGGAGACCAGGATAATTACCTGGCTCCTGCCATCGGATCAGCGTGGTGCGCCGGCCGCAGCGTGCCGGCCGCGGCATCCATTGGAGGGTGAACCAACGGCAAAGGAAGACCTTTCTCTCTGTCTCTCTCTCTTACTGTCCACTCTGCCTGTCAAAAATAAAATAAATAAATAAATAAAAGACCAGTGTCTGCAAATAATGAAGGATAGAATTAAAAGGGAGAGAATGAGCCTGCGGCGGGGTGGGGGTGGGGGGGTGGGCAGGACACATAGCAGCCTCATAGAATAACAAATGCCCTAAACAGCACTCCGGCCTCAGAATCAACCCTTGGGGCATTCAGATCGATCTGGCTAAAAGGCCCATGATAGTCTCACAGGCAAGGAAAGCCAAGACACTGTGGCAAAAACAACCTAAATGAAAGGTCTCCGTGAACAAGACCCCAGCAGAAAGAACGGGCCATCAAAGAAGGAAGCACCTTTCTCTGAAGGGAGGAAGGAACCTCCACTGTGATATGGCCTTGACTAAATAAGTTCAGAGTTGGTGAACTCAAGGGGCCTCCATAGCCTCGACAGCTCATGGCAAGGGCCTCAGGTGATTACTGATGTCATAAACAAGAGTGTCAATTGTTAAATCAACAATGGGAGTCACTGGGCACATGCTCTCTGTGTAGGATCTCTGTCCATAATGTGTTTTACTATGAGAGTTAACGATAACACTACTAGTTGAACAGTACTCTGTATCTTGTGCAGGTGTGTGGTCGCAGTCTGTTGAAACCTTTGCTTGGGCCGGCGCACTGCACCGGGTTCTAGTCCTGGTCAGGGCACCGGATTCTGTCCCAGTTGCCCCTCTTCCAGGCCAGCTCTCTGCTGTGGCCAGGGAGTGCAGTGGAGGATGGCCCAAGTGCTTGGGCCCTGCACCCCATGGGAGACCAGGAGAAGCACCTGGCTCCTGCCATCAGATCAGCGGCCATCAGATCAGCGCGTTGCGCCGGCCGCAGCGGCCATTGGAGGGTGAACCAACAGCAAAAGGAAGACCTTTCTCTCTGTTTCTCTCTCTCACTGTCCACTCTGCCTGTCAAAAAAAAAAA